GAATTTTTTTAGAACAATGGGAACGAAATTTTAATCGGAGGAAAGGTGTCTTTTGGGATGAGTGGGTGACCGCTGGAATTGTATACAGGTTCTGACCTGTTAAGGATCAGACTCCCACGATGATGAAGCGAAGACATTTTCAATTCAGATAATTAAGATTTTTTGTCTATCGGGTCTGAACAAATACAAAGGGTGAAAAAAGACAATTGCTTTTGGCTCACACAGGACGCCAAAAAGGCGGAAACAATCCTCCCTGAAGTCATATCTAATTAGCGGCGGCTGTTTTGACAGAACCCAGGTGAGAAAAAGCCAAGATTATCATTTTTCGTACGTGCGAAAAAGGCCAAATTAGATTTTGTTTTTTTTAGCAAGCTGGTCCTTCCCGGAGCGAGGACGGGATAGACCACGCCCGATTGGGGACGTCGCGAGGCATGGGAGACGCCCAACCAGAATCTCATTAGCCGAAAACGGTCACGTGATATGCGGGAAAGAGGAGAAAGAATGCTTGATCAAGACCCATTGGTCGAAAACGGTCACCTGACATACGAGAGACCGGGAGAGATGGGTGTGCGCCTCCCCACCAAAGGCACTGTGAGGAAGTAGGGGTGAAAATAATAGCGATAATGGGAAAACAGAAATAATGCGGCTATTGGAATTATCGAGAAACCCCTGACGCCGACAAACCCACCCCGTTTTGTTGCGGCGTCAATAAAAGCAGGACCCCAGTCGACAGAAATCAGTTGCGGCTGAGTTGCGGGTTAGACGACCAGAACAGTTGGAACGCGGGCATCGGGTCCGGTTCATTCCTCCCTTGCGGCAAGAGAATCCTAAGACAAGAAATCCTTCCACCCAAGAAGAAGAAGAAGAAGAAGATTGCTCGAAAGCCGCAGAGAAGTTGCAGCCGAGTCAAAGACAGGCCGAAGAGTTGCAGGCCAGACAAGAAGTAAAGTTGCAGACCAAACAAGCAAATCAGTTCCACCTCAGTCGACAGAAAAGAGTTGCTGGACGGAAGAAGAAGAAGTTGAAATCAAGCCAAGCCGAGATCAGAATTCGACCAAACCAGATCGAAGTGAAGAAATACAACTCAAGCCGAAGAAGAATCAGCTGCGAACGACTGATAGAGGATTAGCCCCACACTCCGACATACACAATTCTAAAGAGTAGACAACTCCGAAATCTTTAAGTTGTATGATAGAAGCTTGGTGCCATAGTCCACAAAGCGGGTCGGGAAATAAGAACAATTTTATGTAACGGACATTAGATATAAAGGTTGTTACCCTTTTTTTTATCAGTAATTTTTGTCTCGTGAGTTTTTTTCTTTTACTTGTGTTTTGCCACCCCCGTCGGACTCAACTTGCATACGGCCCAGTCCCTGCTGGTCCCGTCTGTCTAAGATCTAAACACAACGTGTGTAGACAGACCGGAGATCAGTACAGTTGCTTTAGCAACCAGGTATTGGAAGCGGGTTGGGAAAGGCGAGGCTGGTGATCATCTAACCAAGGGGTTGGAACGGCACACTTGGAACAGCGAAGAGCGGCCAGGAGGAGCGACGTCACAGTTGGCGCCGTAACCAAAGGATTCGACCCTGGGCCAGGTGTGTACCCGTCACAGTAAACTCAATCGCTCATGCATCTAGGACGCTATTACCAGCTGAAGGAGATTACTCGCAAATTGAAAAGGAAGCCTTAGGAATAATTTTTGCAGTGACTAAATTCCATAGATTTATTCATGGAAGGTACTTTTTGTTGCAGACAGACCATCATCCACTCCTTACTATCTTTTGATCAAAAAGGGACTGCCAAAACACACTGCTAATAGACTGCAAAGATGGGGAACCATTCCCCTCAATTATAACTACAAAATAGAGTTTCTCCCATCTACTAAAATCTATCATGCAGACAGGTTGTCTAGATTGATACTTAAGTATGCTGAACCCCCTGGAAGACACAGTCATTGCTGCCATAAGAATAGAGGTCGAAATAAAAAGCACCTTGTGCAATACTGTCAGGAAGCTTCCTATAACAATTGACGAGATTATAGAGAAAGTGTCCGATGATGAGTTCATAAAGGAAGTAAAGGACAAACTAAAAAGTAAAGACCAGAATATCTCGGAAGTTTACTCACTCTGTAATGACAAACTAATGTACAGAAACGGAGTAGTAATCACATCTACACTACAGAAAATAACTTTAAAGGAATTCCATGTTGGCCATCCGAGAACTTCAAGAATGAAGAATCTGATGAGGAGTTACGTCTACTGGACCAACATGGACAAGGATATTGAAAACACTGTAAGATCGTGCAAAGGGTGTGCTTTGGCTGCTAAAGTAACCCCAATAAAATTCAATCCCTGGCCTAAAACCGACCGTCTATGGTCCACTTTTGCTGGTCCACTTGATGGCTTTTACTACCTTGTAGTAGTTGACAGTTATTCTAAGTGGCCAGAAATATTGAAATGTAAGAAGCCGTCCGCGGAGATGACAGTAAAATTTTTGCACGAGCTATTTTCCAGTTTCGGAGTTGTTAACTGTATTGTAACCGACAATGGCACACAGTTCACATCCTGTGAATTTAAGGATTTTTGTTAGTCATTCCTGATCGAACATATTACCACGGCGCCATATCGCCCAAGAAGTAATAGACAGGCAGAGCGTTTTGTCGACACTTTTAAGAGAACACTGAGGAAGGCGAGAGATATTCCCACCGATACGGCTATACAGCAGTTTTTGCAGGTCTATCGGGTAACTCCTAATAGCAGTGCTCCATCTGCCAAGACGCCAGCGGAGGTCATGTTTGCCAGGAAAATAAAATCGGTATTTGACAAATTCCGTCCGAGTGAAACGAAAGCAGGAAATACGAATAAAGTGATTAAAAAGCGCTTTAAGATCGGTGAAAAGGTTTATTTTCGTGTATTTGGGAATAATAAATCTCATTGGGAAACGTTATGAAAGTGTAGTCGACAGGGATCCCATAGAAGATGACACTATGGACATCGTCTTTGACCCATTTGACGTTCCAATACCGCAATCAGTGCCAAAACTCACAAGAGAAAGGAAATTCATGGAACCTCAAGAAGTTAACCCGAAAAAGAAAAGATATTGAATATCTTTCATGTCATACCATGTCTACAGAAAAAGGAAAAAAATGAGTAAAAAACCCATCTTCTCACTTATGAACTTTGAATTACCAGAAAAGCACAAAAAGGCATTGGATTATTGTAAATCATTATCATTAAAAAAAAAAAAAATTGTAAACGTAATTCCTGTATATTGCTTTTTCAAAGTGGTTGTTTCTGCTTTTTTTTGTGGAAAAGCATTGAATAAAAAGTATTGTGTGTTAATTATAAAAAAAAGACTCTATATGGAGTCAGGCTGAAAAGTGGGGTGTTGTGGTGTCCTCCCTCTAAAGAGTCTGTTAGACTCTTCTGCCTACTATAAGTTTAGTAGGAGAGAAGGTTCGGGGAACAGTGAATAGATTGTGTGCAAGTTCATTCGATACACTCTTACTAGTTGTATAATACTCTTCTTGTGTACTGTTTAATATATGATATATCTGCAAACCTGGTTTTTGTTATTACTCAACCATTTATTGGTTACAACAATAAATAAATATAAAGTACAGATAACTTTTGAAAAAGTCAGGGATTGATTTCATAATGTATTTGCAACAGGACCATACTTCCAAAATGATATTTTTTGATTTTATCAAAAGTTGTACTTAAACTAATCTAGTTAATTCAAAAACAAATTTCCTTATTATTTTACAAGTGGACTAGTTAACCTCAGTAGTGACTAGAATAGCAACAAAAAGATACAAATATAATTTCTTGTACATATATCTTGAATTTATAATGCATAAAGTGTAAAAAAAGATGTTTTATGTTTTCGTGACAATTTCATATTTATAAATTTTTTATAAAATTTAGTATATAATCTTCCTATATTCTTTATTAGAAATTCTAGCCATTATTATATAACAAAAGTTTTTCCATAGTTCATGCAGATATTATGATGAACTTATAATATATACTGATATTGCAAGAGAAGCTTTTGTCTTACATTCTTATGTTTCACAATTCCAAGAATTATTTATCATTTGTGCTGTTTGTTATAAAATATAGGCTGCTTCAGGTATTTGAGAATATATCCTTTCTATAGGGTCTCAGGGTTAATATTGCCGCATATCAAGTTGCTAGATATGATGGCTAAGCCCTGTATTAAACAGATGGCTTTACATTTTCCATGAAAACACAGCTACCTCTAATTTGATCAATTGAGGAAGAAATTTTACAACTAGGTCACCCTCAACATGTGGCTTCCTTTCACTCCTGATTTGAATCCCCTGGACTTCTTTCTATATCACAGATATAGTCAAATGGCTCTATAATACTCATTGAAGGCGAGCATTTTGGATATGATGACCACATAAATGAGAACCACATAATCCAGATAAGCACTCTCTTTTGAATTGAAGTTGTTGTTGAGAGAGAAGTTTTTATATATTTTTTTAAGTGGAGCAGGTATACAATGTTTTTTGAAGACATACTGATTTTTTCTATTTTTTGATTTTCTTTATATTATAATTTGCTTTCATTTACCTTGCACAATCTGTCAAATTTAATTTTTAATGAAAAAGGTTACCCTTCATATATTATCCTTTTATTTATTTTATTGATGAATCAAATTTAAAACTGAATTCTGTAATTTTTAACATTTTGTTCATAAATGAATAAGAATACAGAAAATGTAGGCTTCTAAAACATTAAAAAGAAAGGCTTCTTTATTATATTTTGGCTAAAATGAAGAGTATTATGTTAAAAAATTATACTTCTTTACTTAAGAAAATCCTAATAATGTGAAAAGATGTATAAGAAAAACTAAAATTTTATAAAATTATATTCTGAGAAAAAGTCAGGCATGTTTGGTAATATTGGCAAATTTAAAAAAATTAGTGATATATAAAATTAGCATCATGTAAACCAATAAGGCCTGCACACTCACTTTTCCCATTTGTGATTGAGCAATATTTCTAGCAAAGTTCTCATCTGATTTTGCATATTGAAGTATATGAGCAGAAATGTGCATGATTTGAGATTTGATATCACCTGCAGTGAAACAAAGAAATAAATAATTGATTAGAAATTACAGACAAAAAATATAAAAAGTAGAAAATTATACAAATTTGTAAACCTCAATATTTATAAATATTTTTTATTGATATTAATTGGACATAGTACAATTTACAGTGTGAGTTATCCCCACATAGCTTTGTCAGTTTTGCCAAGAAGTTGGAAGAGGGTGGTGTTAAAAACTGGACACTTCCTATCTTCATCCTCTTCTTTTACTTTTCCATCCAGCATGCTGTAGTGATGGCATCAACAGGACCTCATTCTTAAACATCGGAACACCTTTCCTCACACACACACACACACACACACACACACAATTCCTAACCTTTAATGGCGTCTTTTTTTTTAATCAATTCATCCCAAGCAAGGTTCTAATGCTACTGAGATGTAAGGAGCTAGTGAGAGAGAATGAGAAGACTTTAGAAGGAACCAGGAACCCAATCCTAAACAAGAAACAAGGGATCAGCCTCTACCCCAGTTCAAAAGACCAAGGAAGAATTGCCTTTTATTTTGATGAAATGTCATACTATCTGTGGATAACTTCTTGAAATCCAGAAGAAGATACATAGGTGAAGAGTCACAAGATCTTGATAGAGTAGCAACATAAAATCTTTTTACAGGCAAGAGATAGAATACAAAGTGTTCAATAGGAGAGTAATCAGGAAAAATCAGGTTAAAAGGAAAACCAAAGAAGTAAAACTGGGCATAGGAGATTCAGTATTTTATGTGTATATAAGGCATGTGGTAAATTGGATGCCTTACTATTGGATAATGGAACAGACAGGACCAGTTTCATTCATGATATGAGATCAAAGGATAGACAAAATAAAAAGGGAATATGCTAATGATATGAAACTGGCTGAAATTGAAAAATGGGAGATCTCTAAAGTAACAGATGCAGAAAGGCAAAACTTTAGCTGAACCCTAGGTTGAATCTGATGAGGATAGTTCAGATACAATGGTATAGTTGGAACCTCATAATTCATAGCCAATAGTTGATAATATGACAGGAAATGATCCAGGAAATGATCATACAGAAGAGTGGGTAAGCAATGATGAGATTCCCTGGCTGAATTAAAGGAAAAGATGAAAATGTGTAACCCTCAACAGGAAGAGGCGGAATTACCTTTAAGGAGGAGGCTTAGAAGTGCAAAGAGGAAGGAGGACTGAGAAATTGGACTTCTTGAAAATGTGTGAAGAGAAAAAAGACCCAGAAAATTTGAGGAGGGAAAAAAAAAGGATTCTCAACAGACTGGCACATAATCAGGAGAGGCCCTACTCTTACGTATGCATAGATTTTGGACTTGTTTAGCTGATTTCTTTATTGTTTTTGGAGAATGCTTCATTGGAGAGTGTTAATATTTCTCATGGTGTTGTAATGATGAAACGAATGCAAAGTGTGATTTTCAAGAACATGAGTGAAATGACTATCACCAAATTCAAGTGGATGATAACTTTCATGATTGATCTATCTTTATGAGAAATTGCTAAGAAAATAAGGAAAAGAAACAGCACATGCATGAACCACAAGTGAAAATACAGTATAGGACAGGAGGAATATTTAAATTTGAAGTTTGTGCTCAAGAAGGAGAATATAATTATGATTAAGCAGTGTGATGAGATGTGTGGGTACCTACAAGTTCTACATCTGTTGGCCAGAAGAGAGAAAAGAGCAGTAATACCCATAGAAAAGGTCCTTCAGTAGGTTATTGGAAGGCAACTTAAGAGTGATTAACAGGAAATTAAACACACTAGAAACTAAACAGAAACTCATGGTCTATGTTGCCAGGGAAATGTATCAATCCTAAATGTGGCTAGAATTGATCTGCTTGAGAATTAGCAGAGTACCAATTAGTTATTCATTGAGGTTTGAGATGTGAGTTGGGAAATAGGGAATGCAGCAGATGTAGTCTTTGTTACTGTCACTGGGGCACATATGCTAGCCCTGGGACATTTGTGCCCAAATATAGTGACACCTGAGCATCTAAATGAACTGTTGCTTAGAATCCAAACAGAACTATCTCACAGGTTAAGGTTATCTACATTCAATACCTCTAAGACCAAACTGGTTACATTCCATCACCATTAATCAAACCTCAAACTACTGTGAGTCACAATAAATGAATGTTCCCTCAAGGACATTGGGCCTCAAACTCACTCCTGACTTCAAATGGAGCTCATATATACAATTCATCGATAAAGATGCAGGTAAAATGATTGGTTCCCTGTATTACTCCAGTAAGTACCTGACTCCTCATGCTATCCTTTACTTTTCTAAGAGCCAGATTAGGCTGAAAATGGAGTACTGTTGCCATATTTGGGTGGGAACTGCCCAGTCCTCATTCTTGATAAAGTTCTAAAGCATCTCCAAGCCCTTGTCAGAGAAGAATTATTTTCCACCCTCCAAACTCTCTCTCACAGAGGGATGTGGTGAGTCTCTCAATGCTTTATCACAACTACCATGGAAAGTGCTTGAACAAACTACATATTTTGGTTCCACCAGGTCTAAGCTTCAAGGCTAGGACTTGCCATGCCACTTACATAGTAGCAAACTACCCACAGTCCCTCTGTATTCCATCAGCAAGAAGTAAGTTCCACTCAAACAGTTTCTTCCCACAAACCACTGCCTTGTGGAACAGACTCCCAAGAGGATGTTTCCCTGATCACTACAATCTTAACTTAAGAGTCAACTTCCCTTCCTATCCATATAACCTACCCCTTAACATAACCCTCTATCTCAAGTAGCCCCCAGACCTTGTACAGAGTGAACCCTACTGTAAAAAAATTATAGTTATCTGGGATGTGCTAATCTAATAAACAAGGATAAGCTATTGGTATTAGTATCCCTACCAATATTGGTTTGGGAAAGCACATTCAAAGTGTTTTAGATAATTAACTTACCCATTCCTTATCATGTAACAGAGGGAAAGGGAGGCATATTGGCAAGTTATAAGTTAGAGATGGAGGACATAGTTTTTAATGAAGAGAGTATAAACATTTAAGAGAATATGGTGATACACAATGGGAGGAGATGGGAATGGAGGGAAAATGAATGATGAAGGCACAAGACAAGGTTTTAGAGACACTATTGAAATGTCTACAGGTGTATTTCTTGCATATCCCAGGACAAGGCTAAATATTGTTGAAGTTGAACTCTAAAATTACGAATTCTATGCTTTGCATACACATGGATTGGATTTTATTTTTCCAATGGCTTGTAAAAGACATAATATATCATGTCTACACCTACATATACATATGAATGAACCATACACATGCATGACCCACTACATATACATGCCTATCTCTCTCTCTCTCTTTCTCTCTCTCTCTATATATATATGTGTGTGTGTATATATATATATATATATATATATATATATATATATATATAGATCTGTGTGTATATATGTATGTATGTATATATATATATATATATATATATATATATATATATATATATATATATATATATATTTTAAATACATTTTCTTCAGTACAGAACTTGAATATTGTTTTAAAACAATCAATTTAATATTACTAGGCATAATGAAAAATAAAGGAGGAAAAATAAATAGTTTCACCCCAGCTCTTTCAGGTTTTTCAATCAGGAGTGTGCTAAGTAAAATATAACAAATTTAAAATTATGAATGATTAATTGATGAGAGGAGAAAAAATAAAGTGGGGTATACTAGAGACTAATCATAGCAAGACCAAGTAAACAATCATGCTGTTTACACAGAGAAGCTTTGTGAGACCTGATATAAATAGACTCCAGTACCTTTAGATGAAAAATTGAGTGTGAATGAGATAAAACAGTAAAACATTCAGCACTGAATTCAACAGCGCACCTTCTGTTTTTAATTAGGTGTTCACAAATTGAGGAACCATAGGTATTATGGATGAGTTCATTTTGATCATGGGTATGGTTTCTGATTAATTTTTTTATTTTATGTCTTTTATCTCTCCTAAATTACTCCTTTTCTTTTCCTTTTCAATCCAGCATGCTGTAGTGCATCAGCAGGACATTGTGCCCAAATATCCTTCCTCTTCATAACTGAACTTTTTCATACACACACAATGTATCACCCACACATTTCCTATTTCTTTCTTTTGCATACTAGTGTATTTTCTCTCTTTTTACTCAGTATAAAAAAATAAAAAAACGTTTGAAAGTATTCTTTAATATTTTTTTTATTGCTAAAGTAAAAACATTATGGTTATGTTTTGAATTATCCTCACATATTTTTGCTAACTAGTTGCAGTTTTATTTTTAAAAGAATCTTTATTATAGTTGTAAGCTATTCATTGATAATGAAGTATAATTACTATTACTAGACCTAAATTATAAAAGGGTCAGTCATAGAAAAAATATTTTAATTCTATATATGTATTCAGCTGAATCAATTTTTTTCAGTATTTTTTTTTTATTCCTAGCATTCAATTATCTTTGGTATTTTCTCTGGTTTCATGATCTTTTACTACCTTCAGTGAAATTATGCATTTCTTCATAAAAGATTCAATTATTATTTAATGACCTGAGAAAAAAGTCAGTATTTAGTTGCCATGTTTAACATCACTCACTCTACATTTTAGTGTTAAATTAATTGAACCTGTAACAGATTACAATCTATTTATTGAGTCTTTTGATAAAAAAGAACATAATTTCTCAAATGAAAAAGTTAGAACAAAATTTTCAATGAAAATTTTTAAATGTTATGATTGTTTGTACACATTTGAAAAACAATGTACTTACCTTGTCCAGAATTAATATTTTCAAGAGGAAGTTCTTTGTTGGGTGATTGCTCTTTCATTTCAACTTTAGGAAGTGGTTCTGGCAATGGTGGTGGAGAAGCTTGAGATGAATTAAGCTTTTTGTTTTCTTCAAGTAGTCTTCTAATATCTCCAATTGTCACAGCTTTTGAGGGAGGATAAAGACCCTGAGAAAAAAAAGAAAGCCTTAAGTATAACCTTGTGCTCCTCTGTAAAAATTGAGTATCTTACAACAGGCCAACTTTGATGTCAATGGGCTCCTTACAGTGTTGAAACTGGCCTGTCAGCTGCATTCCATGTGTGAAGAGTCAGGTGAGATTGGGCAAAATCACGGTGCTGCTGAGAGAGCTGATCATGGTGGTGATGATAACAATGTGCCTGTGTGATGACAGGCAGCCTAGCAACTTTGGCTCTTGTAATTACTGGAGGCTCTGTAATAGTGTATTAAATAAGAGTTTTCTGTTTCTCTCTTCAGTTTGAGGTGTTAACATATTCTGCTGATAAAGATGAATGTTTTGCCTATAAACTCTCCATAAACTCTAATCTTTGCCTCACTTTCCATTTTGAACTGAGTTTCTGTTGAATGATATGCATATCCTTCTATGGTTTCTGCTATCATTTCTAATCTGGATCCCCACAAAGTGTTTGGACTTGATGGTATCCCTGTAATAGTCCTTAAGAAATGTGTTCCTGAACTAGCTCCTGTTCTCTCTAAACTGTATAATAAATGTCTCAATGCCTCTTGCTTTCCTACCTGTTGGAAATCCTTATCTGTTGTTTCAGTTTTTAAGAACTCAGATGAACTGTCTGACCCTTCCATCTATTGACCTTTTACCTATTTTTGGGAAAGAAGCTTTTGATACCAACTTCAGAGCTTTTTTGAAGCTCTCAACTTGGTATCTATACTGATGACACAACCATTTACTCCTGTCTCAATAGTAAGTTTGATATGGTCAAATTGGCAGCTAATGTCAAAAACAATTTTCAGTCTGTAGTTAACTGGAGCAAATGATGGTTTGTTAATTTTAACACCTTTAAAACTAAACAGCTCTCTACTAATCATCTGAGAGACCCCTGATGCTAAACTCCAGAAGAGTGACTTGTTGCACCTTCTTGGGCTGATATGTAGTGGAAAGACTATATTGAATCCATTGGTAGGTCAGCTGCTAAGAATGTTGGGCGAGACAGTTTTTCTCCCCAGAATCTATCTCACATAGCTATAAGTCTACCATTCATCCATGCTTAGAATATTGCTGCCATAGATGGTCTGGTGCTGCTGCTATTTATTTAGAGATCCTTGATAAAATCTAAAGAAGAATTAGCAATATTATCAGTCCTGATCTGGTGTCACAGCTTTCAGTCTCTTTCCCACTGATGTAAAGTTGCCTCCTTGTGCCTTTCCTATGAATCTTCTTGGCTTGGTTTTGCAAATGAAGATTTATGAAGTGGGCTGTTGATGTCGGCTGCAGGCATGCTGATGGCTGACTAGGCCAATGTGGGACAGGCAAGTCTGGCCACAGTGACTGCAATTAAAGGTCTGGTCTTGTATAGCTGCCAAGGTTTCCCAGTCCTTCCTCTCACAACATTTCTCATTCAGGTTAGCCCTGCAAAAGTCCACAAAGGTGGAGACAGCCTGGTGGATGGTGTGGAGCCAGGCTTGATGGTCAGCAGCAGGTGTAGACTACTGTCGATGGTCAATATGGTAGATACTGAAGGACTTCTTAAGGGAGTCCTTATAACACTTCCTTTCATGGTGGCCAGTGGAGAGTATGCTGTACAGGGCTATCTTGGACAGGTGATGGTCCCCCATTCTGGAGATGTGCCCTGCCCAGCGTAGCTGTGACTTTAGCAATATGGCTTCAATGCTGATGATTTCTGCTTGTTTAAGGACCTCAACGTTGGTGATGTACTCACTCCAGTGAATGTTGTGGATGGTATGGAGACAGTGCTGATGGAATTGCTCAAAGAGTCGTAGGTGGTCGTCGTAGATTACAGCAGAGTGGTGAGTACAATGGCTCTATAGTGCCCTTCTTCAGATGCTTGCTGTTCCAGACTCTTTTGCCAAAAACCCTGTTTGCCCAGACAGTCTGTTGTCTACTTCCCTGTCAATCTTTGGCATCCAATGTAATGGTACACCCCAGGTAAGTGTACTGGTGAAATGCTTTCAGCTCAGTCTCACTGATGGTGATGTGAGGAGGCTGGTACTCTTCTCAGAAGATCATGGAACAGCTGCTCGTTTCTTTGTGTGAGTCTGCAATCTCCTGAGGTTAAACAGACTGCCATCAAGGCAGTAGTGGATGTACACAGCATCGTCATCGCCAAGGTCTTCTGTGGCATGTTTAAGCATCATACTGAAAAAAATGCTAAACAGAGTTGGTGCCAGAACACAACCCTGTTTAATGCTGTTGATGATGGGGAAGGGTCCAGATAGGTCAATGTTCAACCTGACTTGGCTGCACTGGTCTTTGTGCAGTTCAGTGACCATGCTGAGGAACTTTAGGGGCAGCCGAGGCACTCCATGATCATCCACAGACCCTTTCTGCTCATTGTGTCAAATGCTTTGGTCAGGCCCACAAATGTTATGTACAGTCCTTTGTTCTGCTCTCAGCATTTCTCTTGAAGCTGCCTGAAGATGAACACCATGTCTGTGGTGCACTTGTGGGCTCTGAAAACACAGGGTTTCTGGTAGGTGATCTTCAGCGATGGTGGGCACCAATCTGTTCAGGTGCACACAAGCAAGGATTTTTCCTGCGATGGAAGCACTCAGACCAATGTCTCAGGATGGAGGTCTTGTCTGTGAAAAGCATCCATCCATCCACACTGTGCAAGGGACTCTGGACCTGGTGGGTTGGGCCATACACTTCCTTGAGGGCTTCATAGTCACCTAATTCTGCACATAGCTGAGTTCTCTCTCTGAGGATGGTCCACCACTCATTTTGGATCTCTCAAAGCTTGTACGGGAGGTTACTACAAATTAGACAGATGTCAGCCCTCCTCAATGAGCCAGATGGGCCTGGTGGGCTGATCTTTTCTTCACCAGCAGTTCCTGAATCTCTCGGTTGTTCTCATTGAACCAATCTTTGTCCTTCCTGATGGTAAACCCCAGAACTTCTTCAGATATCTGCAGGAGAGGGGCTAACTGGTGAGTTGCTGTTTTCAAGCTTGAACTGTAGGCCTGCCTGAAAGTCAGCTTTCACTCCAGCTAACTGAAGCTTGATCAGATTGAACTCTTGGGGAGTGGGGGGCTCCCTTCCTTTGTTTAGGTTTGAAGTGCAGTCTAAATTTTCAGAACATTAGGTCAGTGTGACATTCTCCACTGCATATCACTTTGGTGTGAAGGATGTCTTTGAGGTCTTGCTGGTGTGCTAGAACATAGTCTATGAAATGCCAATGTTTGAGGAAGCATCCAGGTTGTTTTAAGGCTGTCCTTTTGATGGAAGATGGTGTTGGTAATGACAAGTTGCTGCTCAGTGCAAAGCTCCAGCAGCAAGCACCCATTGTCATTGCAGTTACCAATGCCATGTCAGCCAAGTACTTCTTTCAGGCATCTGCATCTTGAAGCACTCTGGCATTGAAATTGCCTAGGATTATCCCCTTGTTGTCTGCAGGGGTACTTTGGAGATGGCTGCAGAACTCCAAGTAGAACCTGTCTTTTTCTGCAGGTTCAGCTTATAGAGTTGGAGTGTACACACGGAAAAGCATGGCTTACTGGTTGTTCTTCAGAGGGAGGCACATGGACATCATGTAGCCAGAATGACCGGTTGGCAGATTTTTCCAGCTTGGCAGTGATGGAGGTGCTGACCATAAAGTCAACACCTAAAAGACAACCCTCTGTTGCAGGTTTCCCTAACCAGAAGAGGGTGTATCCTGCACCATGCTCCTGGAGGCTGCCTTTACCTGGGAAGTGGACCTCACTAAGGGCAGCAATATCGACATTTAACCTGGACAGTTCATGTGCGATCACTGCTGAGCAACGTTCAGGTTGGTTGCCGTGAACTGGGAGCAATTGTAATTAAGGGGTCACTCCACTCTCCCTAAAACTCTGGCACTCCCAGACCAGAGCCTTACGACCAGTTCCAGTTTAATGTCATATCTAGGACCAATGAATACTTCTATGAATACTTTCATGGTAATTGTTCAGATGAGTTCTTCCATATACTACCTAGACTTTATGAATTTTAGCACAGTACTAGAATGATGATGAGGTCTCCTTAATTTACTTTTGAGTTGGCTAGATGTAATCATAAGTTATATGCTGTTTCTTTTCTTACACATCTCACTTGTGGAACTCTCTTCTGGCTCCATGCTTTCCAGTCACTTTAATTTTCAAAAATTTAGATGCAATGTCAGTCACTATGTACTATTCTTCTGATTACTCTTCTTTTGTTGTTACTCCTTTGCAATGTTTCTGTTTTCGAATTATCACCAAAAAGGTTTCAGCACTTTCATTTTTTGGCAATCTTGGACATTTGTGTCCACAAAGTGTCAAAAGAATGGTTTTCCACTTGATACTGTTGTTATTTTAATTACCTCACTCCTTGGTAATGTTTATTGTACATTTTCTTTGACAACAAAAATAATAAACACTATTAGATTGTTTATTGGAATGGTTGGCAAAACATTGGCTAATTGCCAGTTGATTTGAACTTTATAAAATGGTAAATAAGTATTTTCTTATAGTTAGTTTGCATATTTTAATAATTTAGTAAATGTTTATAAAAATGTTTTCATATTTATTTCTTTTTAAATTGATAAATGATAAATATTGCATCACATTAGTTTTAATATAATTGTATTCATTTTTAGAACATTGTAAATATAAAATTATTCTTGTAAATAATCTAATAAAAAAAACTGCTTAATAATTTGTTGTAAATTCTCAAAAAAAAGAAAAAACTGTATGAATTCATTTTCATATGTTTATGTTTTATACTTTTGATCATTGCTTTTTAAAAATATAAACATTGCTGAGGAGTGAAGGTAGTTAAAATAATAGAGGTGTCAAGGGAAAAACCATCCTTTTGTCACTATGCCTTTTATGTTGAATGGTTAAGAAAAATGGAAAAAAGAAACGGAGTCAAAATTATATTTTAAAATAATGAAATGAATTTAAGAAAGGTTCCAGGGAGAATCAAACCCAGAATTAACTCACAAAGATTCAGTAAAATTGAGCAAAACCAATATTCTATACCTTAAAGAGGATGGCAGGATTAACGTTTTGTCTGAGTTTCTTTGGTCCTGAGAAATTAAATTCAAAGGTTTGCTTCCATTATACAAAACATGTGTGGTCATACAGAAAAGAATGATCCAAATTCTTTTAAACAAAAAATATTTTGTTTAATTCCCTAGCTTGGAATTTGTTTTGATCTGTTCAGCCCCAAAACACCATTATCTTTACAAAAAGAAATATATCTAGAAAAAGTCTAAACAAAAAAAGTACCATATTGTTTTTAACAAGATTTCCTAAGGTTAAGATGGGCAGTGTGGAAAAATTAGATATATCAATGTGAAATATTTGGTGGGGAGAGGTTTATATAAACAGGAACACATCATGCTCAAAGAGAGATGAAGCAGCCCAACAAGGAAAGTTGCTAGAGATTCACTCCAGTTGCATTTCCCTTGTGATATCCTTAGATAGGATTAGACTAAATGGGCACTAGATACAAAACATGTCCTTGTGGAATAAATATAATTTCTGGGCATAATTTCTACTATTAAAAAGAGATAAAAATGAATAGGAATAGTATTAAGACTAGTTGTGTGTGAACTTCAAACATGTGATTTAAGTCTTTCTGCATTCAATAGTGATATGAATAAATGGGTATTGGACAATAGATCAGAAAGGGCAGTAGAAAACTGGAATAGTTTAGATATAAAAACATCTTGGAATATTAAATATAGCTATATAAACTTGAATATTTCCAAAAGCAGCAAGCTTAACCACCAATCTTGTGCAAACAGTTTTTTTCCTCTCCAGTGAGACAAGTCTTTAAGAACAGAGTAAAAGAGATATATGAGGCTTTTTTCTGAATGAACTGAGGAGATGCTAGTGGAACAGTTTTTTACAAATATTTTTCTGATTTTCCTCCACATAGTAGTAAATAATCTAAGGTTAAGAAAGTGTTTAAAATGACTATGGTTAACAATTCTTCAGGTCTATATGTCTTTTACTTGAATCTATTTGATATATTTGTGCCCATTTAAATATGTATATAGAGAAAGAGCTGAGAAGAAGCATGTAAAAAGAGTTTCACTTCTCTTATAATGTAACAAGGTGTGATGGATTAAAAAATTAATTAAAAAGGTTTACTAGGCTTAATAAGTGAAGATGGATTTGAGAGTCTCAGGAGATTGAACATGAGGAAATCTAGTAAGATTGTATATAACTAGGTACCTCCAAAGAAAAAGGTTTAAAATTAATTTTTAAAGATGAAAAATCTTTCTTGAAGCTTTTTAGTTTTAATTTCAAGATAATAGATTAAATTTAATATTTCCAATAAGCAAAATACTTTGCTGTATTTCAAAATTAATTTAAATTGATTGGAATGGGTTTTATTTAAAAATAAAAAAAGTGCTAAAACTCGCTGTATATTTACAATTCTCTCAGCACAATGTAATTCTCTTTATTAAAAAATATCTTTCAAAAGTAAAACATATTTTTCTGAAACTTTATTTGAGGAAGATTAGCTGATATAAAGTTTAATCAATCTAAGTTGAAACAAATATTCCTTTTGGTTTAAAGTATTGCAGAAAAGCATTTTTAACACAGAGATTGACAGCTTGATGCTTGAGAAATTTAATTTTTTCTACAGGGGATATATCTGTTAAAATTACTTTCTGAGCACCTGTTTTATATAATTTTAAATTTACTATAGTTACCGCTTTTATTTTCTTATAATGTTGTACATGGTCATCCATATTTATGTAAATTGGCATGTTTATACACACACACTCACACATATAAAAAGTTCTTTTGAAGTTGTTGAATTGTAGCAAGCTCTTCCATGTATGATTAGTAAATATAGTTTTACTTAAAAACAATATCTTCTAAAATATACAAATTAATACAGAATTTTAAAAGATTTAAAACTTTATAAATTATTCAAATTAAAATTTTTAAAAATTAAAACAATTCTTGTAAAAATTCATTATTCATTGAAAAAAAATTTCTTAAGACAGTGGTGTCCATAATATATCTTATAATTCAAAGCAGATTTTTTCAGGGTCCTATTTAAAAAAAAAAATCAATGATTTAACTCATCTAAAAACTTCTGCTTATAACTAATGAAGCCTTACAAAAATGAATTTCTCAAAATTTCTTAAAATTAAATAAGTGGAAGGCTAACAGATGTAAAAAATATTTTTACTAAGATTTTCTAAAAAGAGACATTTCTAAAATAACTTAATTCATTTGTGAATAAGTCCTGAAAGTTTCATTAAAATCTGACAATTATTTGATTTCTGCAAGAATTTCCAAATCAATGTTTTTCAGTGCAAAAAGATAGTAAAAAAATCAAAAAATTCTTTGGTCTTTCTTAATAATAACAAAGATTTTGATGATTAAACTTTTTATTAAGTTTGGGGCATTTTTTCATCATGTATGCTCATTTTTAGCGAATCTTTGAAAGAGCCTATATATAACTGACAAAGCCCAGTACCAACCCAGGACAGGCATAGACAGTTGATTCATTCTAGGAAAAATTTCCTGACCTGAGTTGTAAACTATCAATCTCCCAAAATTGTATTGATTTTGTTTTTAACTTTCACAAAAAAAAAAATTTCCAAAGGAAAATATAGTAAGAAGGTTATTTCAGGTGTTGTTTCATATTTTTTGTGTTGGTATAATGAAGCTAAATTAAATTAATAATTGAGTATTAAGAATAGAGTGACCCAAAATCCTCACCTTGTTTGTTGGTAGTTTTGTGTCAACTTCATATGAATATATTTTGCCCATTTTGTAAAAAAATAAACATGACCTTGGCAAAAATGATTAAAATAAAATAAAGAATTAAATATTTTTGCTGTAAAAGATTTAAAGCAGCAGAAGTTTTCATAAAATTTTTATTTTTCTATTGCTTTTCTAATCTTTTTGATTAGCAGCAACCTTTGAGGTAAATCAAATTAAAAAAATGATGTTCTTTGGATATATTTTAATATAGTCCATGCATTTCAGAGTTTTCAAAAATGATATATACAAATTTATTGATTTAACAAAGTTTTATATTTTATTAGGATACCAAACTATTTTCATATTAAATACGTAGATTTTAAAGCTCATTTTAAAGCTCATTTTTAACTTTTTGAATTTTTCATGTGAATTATTTGCATTTATAAAATTTATGAAAATAGCAATCAATCAAACTTTAACATGTTTTGTGAATAATAATTTTTTCATGTTTCTTTTGCTCTTTTGGATTCAAAGAACTAACCTGAATCATTTGTTCGGTAATGAATCCAAATTGTGTTGGATGTCTGATTCCAGTGTAGAAATCTTGCAATCCAAAAGGTAATTTATCAGCTGGAATTCCAAACATATTAATTTGTGTTCCAGAATAATTTGTTGGATAAAAAGGGACAGCTGGGTTATCCACTTCTGGAAAAACAGAAAAATATGAATATTTAATTTTTTAATTTTTTTTTTATTCAGAAATATTCTTGATAGATTTTGTATACTAATGTTTCAATTGATGTAATTATTTTGCAAATAAGCACATAACCATACATGAAACATCTAAAAATAAAGATAAATAGAAGAAAAAAATTAAGCTAAGAAATATATTTTTTAAGCAAATATTTATTATATTGTTTATTTATTTCTTCTGTGTCCGAATTAAATATTACATTATTGAATTTACAACAACTGTGTAGAATTATCAGTAAAATAAATATCTATGTGATTCATTTAATATTTACTTAGTCTTTTTAAGATATTACTTTCAATCCCAACATCAGGTTTTTAAACTATTCTAAAATGGAGGTTGACTGATAAATGATTCCAATGCATATATAACACATTTTAATTACATTTTCAATAATAATTAAATATTAAGAAATTGGTACAAAATGGTTGGTAAGAACAATTGTTATCATTAAAATTTCCATATTCAAAAATATAATAGCCCATATCAAAACCTTTAGGTGTGTCTGAGATATTAACACAGGTAGGTACAGTCCATGCTTGCTTGTAATTTGTTTTCATTGACTCAGGAAGAGACAAATTCTGCTTCCCAGAGTTACGAATAGATGAATTATGCTGAAAATTGAAAAAAATGAATATTAAAGTGAATTATTTATTAAAGTGAATATTAAATTATTTAAGTAAATACTTTGATATTCATAGCACATATTTTTATTTGTATATTAAACAAATTTTCAAGAGATATATTTAAACAATTGCTTAAATATCTGTTAAAATATCTTTGAAAGTGTAAAAAAGTCTAGGGCTTTTACTGTAATATAAAGTACAGCATATATTCTGCATGTATACAAGAATTGTTTTATGCTTCAAACACAAGAGCATCTGGCTGGCATATGAAAATTTCACAGTAGGCAGAAATCTCTTCATCCTAATTGTGATCCAATAAATGGATTTCTTTCCTTTTTTTACTATACATGCATATTCAAGAAGCAGCTTATATTACAAAGTATTTAAATGGAAAATAAATAGCAGTAGATTTCACACATATGAAAGATAAAGGAAACAGGAAAAAAAGTCAGTATAACTAAGAAATTTTGAAAAAATCTCATGTAAAAATAAAATTTAAAGTTTAAAATAGAAAAATCAATATCAGCATTCAGTATAAACTTGTCAAATTCAAAGCTTTACATTTTGATTAACTCAGCATTTTTTCAGATAGGCTCACTTAGACCTCAACTGATATATTCAATCTAATGCAAAAGATGCTGGAAAAATGGTTGCTCTATCAATACAAGAACCAGATCAGACCCAAAATGGAGTATTGTTGCCGTATCCAAGCTGGAGCTACCCAGTTCTCATTTACCTGTCCTGATAAAGTTCAAAAGCATCTACACAGACTTGTGGAAAAGGAATTGTAGGGTGGAAAATAAATAATTTTTCACTCTACAACTCCATAAACTATATTCCTAAGCCCCATCACCCCTGAACTTTACAACTGAGACCCCATTTCCTTCATATTCAATTTGTAAGACGTTCCACTTGGACAGCTTCTTTCTAAGAACTGCTGCTATGGCAGAACGTTTTCCCAATTACTACAACCTTAACCTCTTCAAGTTGAGGCTTAACCAATATCTTTCCTTCATAACACAATGAACTTCACTTCTTGCCTTTTCACATGCTCAAACAACACCATACTGTAACCCTCCACCTTAAGTAACTCTTTAGTGAACATTAGTATATATATATATATATATATATATATATTACAAATTTACTAATTTGAAAACATGGTTTCATTGCTACATAGGATTTGCCATGTTTCAAAAGCAGAAACTAAAAACTTCATATTTAATTATAGAATTAAATTAAAATCCCTAGTACTGTTTCATTTTCAAGCAAATTTTGAAATAACTTATTTTGAAATTTACTGTGTTTTATAAGCACATACATTAGCATTATTTTCTAAGGATACAGGGAAATTCAATCATTTTGACAAGGGGTGGTAAGGTATTCATTTTCACTGACAACTATTGTATCAAAATATGAGTTACTTTTGAAATGAGGTTAAGTTAAGGGAGGGTAGGGGTGCCTGTTCAACAAATGATGACATCCGTTTTTTGCATGTCGTCTGGTCTTTTTCACTGACAAAAGGTTTTTTGGTACTTTTTTTTCATTAAATTTGTGATTGTATACATAAAGATTTTTTCCAAAAGGGTTGTTTGAATATGAGTATGCCGTATTAAAATACAATTTTAAAATATTATTTCTAATTCAAATTACTATACTTTTAAAACAAATAAATGTATTAGAATTACTTTATTATTTAAAAATTATTATTAAGATATCAAACATAAATATGTATGTTTCATTTTTCAACTTTTTTTTATTTAAACATTATTTAAGGAAAATTTTTGACAATGTCAGCAAAGAATAGCTATTTCATTTCTTTGATTAAGTAAATTTTTATTTTTATAAACCTAGTAATGTATAATTTCTCATGTATGCACAAAGGACATGGGTCATTTAATGACCTACATATTCTAGCTTTTTTTTATTAATTTTTATTTCACAGTAGGTGTTTTATTGGTTTCTTTTAAGTGCCAGCAATATTTAGATAGGGACGTCTGATTTCGGTATTTATTTATTCTAAAAGAACTTTAATGTTAGTTAAAACGTTTTTTGAATTCATGTCTTGTGCACTTAATGTAGACTTTTATCTTATCTGGATCCTCAATAGATGAGATACTGCATTGGTACACTAATGATTCAATGTGATATTTATTATTAAGAGGACAGTTTTGAGGATTTCTGCAGTTACATAATTTTAGCTTATCTTCATCTCTTTTTATTATACTGTCTAAATTTCTTAGATTTTGTTCTAAGTGTTTACTCAAGATATTAGCATTATGTTTCTTAATAAACATATCATGAGAAATGCAGTTTGGAGATTTCACCAAACCCACCAAACCAAGTCTTTTGGCAGCCCAGAGGGTCCCAGCCAGGTGAATAATGTCTCATCGTTTTTGAGGCATTTCAACCCGGGCACCCATGGCCATATTGAGCGAGCCTCCTGCTTCGTAAGTCCGAGCTCGTCAATCAGCTTCATCGCTAATGGACCCCGCCCCAACACACATGATATAATGCCTTTCGAGACAAATGCCTGGATACTGGAGAGGCAATCCGACTTTGCTGACTTCGTTAATCTCGGCTCTGATCGACACCGAAACGTTGTCAGCACAGGCAGAATACCTGGCCAAGTTGGTAGCACCAGGTAGGGAAATTCTGCGTAGGACGGGATTCACCTTTAACTTGCAAAGAAAGGGTTCCAACACAAGAACGTAAAGCAAAGGCGAAAGTGGACAACCTTGATGGATGGAGTGAGACAATACAAAAGGCTCTGATCATACCTCATTCACTTCCACCAGCGCAGAGAGAGTCGCATACAGAAGTCGGATCCAGGTGCAAAAGTACAGCCTGGAACTGGCTGTCGAAAAGAAGAGCTTCCAGAAATTGATGGTCAACCCTATCGAAGGCCTTGGACTGATCTAAATTGATCAGCACAGCTTCACTGTTGACTTGCTCTATGATCAAGCATATGAAGGTTGCCTTGAATAGTTCTACCCTTCACAGCACAAGTCTGTTTGAAGCCAATCAGACTAGACAGGACAGCCTGCAAACGGTTCGCTATTACCTTAGCCCAAATCTTTAATTCTGTATTTAACATAGTTAAAGGGTGAAAGTTACCTAACCCGTTCTTGTTCTTGCGTAGCAACTTGATCACGCCCCTGGTAAAGCATTGAGGTATAGATCCGTGCTTCATCGAAACTGCTGAAAATCAGTGCCAGCAAAGGAACAAAAAAGGGTGATTGCCTCAAATACACTTTGTAGGGAAGACCTCAAGGCAGGGAAATTCGGCTAAATGGATGTCAAACCGAGCATGGCTCAGACCGGACTCCCTGGTGAAAAGTTTCTGAAAGTAATCACGAAAATCCTCACATACGCCCACGTTTGTAGTCATGTGACGCATGTGATATATCGCTGAGATGCATTCCGAACTTCCTCTGCACGCAATTCAGTGACCACAATCGTTGCCTCAGAGGACATTCTTTTTAACCTAGCCCTAACTGCCAGAGCTTTATCCTTCTTGATAAGCAAAGAGGCCAACTCTGCCCTAGCTATTCTCCCACTATCATGGGATTTGATTGCCCAATCAACTTTTTGCTCACAAGCCATTTGCGCTGCTAATCTATCTAGATTGAGCCAATGACTATAATCAGCAGCAAACGATCTAATTTGGGATTTTAAATTATCCCACCAGGCATTCCCAACCACAGCCCCTGTCAGTTCCCGCTGTATCATTAGTAGCAGCTGGTCCCAGAAATTTTGCTCACCAAATAATGAAGTTCAATTTCCAGTAACCAGCAATCCCTAACCTTAGGCTTATCTAAGTTTATACGGACCCAGACGAGCCTATGATTCAAATAAACTAATAATATAATACTATAACATAAATATAAATAATTTGTAATGGAAACTTGGACACCCTAAGAGCCCTACATCGACTCTCCTAAAATTCGGTCGAGGTAGCTAGAATGCACCTCTGTACCCGAGCCAGCCCCTACTTGTCCAAGTCCATACTACCTCCCGAGGGTGTTCATTCCGGTACTTATAAAAAAAAATTAAACTTATCAATAAAGTTCTGAAATGGTTTCATGTCCCGGTTGTTAGTACCTGAATTTGACCCTATATGATCTATGTCGGAGTAAAGGACGGCATTTCAAGTTGTTTGGAAACTCGGCACACGTCTCCCCTGAGTTATATATGAGTTTAGGCTTTTTTTATGAGTTGCATTTGACGTTTCCGGTGAAGGACTTCATATTTTTGGCCTTTTTCGGTGTACAGCTGGGAGTTTTGACAGGGGATAGCTTAGGTGTAATGGAGGTACTGGAAGAGGTGAGATGGTCCTTGGTCTTGTGATGGGGACCCTTTTTTAAGGATGCCATTTTAGAGGGTGTGGGAGATGGGGATCTCAGGAATGAAGGAGGAGCTGTGAAATGTTGTTTTGTTGAAGGGGAAGATGGTACTGAGGAGGTAGGGCTAGACTTTTTGGGAAGATGAGAATCCTTTAACTTTTGAAATCTCTCTGCCTTCTCAAATGATATTTTTTGCTGCTGTAGTTTATCCGAATAGCTGGTCAGGGAGTTGCCCTTAAAACTGGTAGAGGGAATGGAGCTGTTTGTGTTGTTCCCCGTAGGGGCTTCAGTGGGATGAGGACCCACTGCCTGGAGCTTCCCTCTAGCCTTACTAACAACCTGCAATTCCCCATTTCCTTCTCTGCAACTGCAATAGAGGCAGGCAAAAGTTTTTGAGGGAATGGTGGGGGGGGCCGTGAGATGGACCCAGCTGGGGGTCTCACCACACCGGTCTCAGCTGCTGGCATGCCCATTACAGTCCAGATGGAAACAACAGACTTGGCTAGAGGTGGAATTTCAATTGGCATTTATTTTGAAATATTTTAAAATTATTTTGTCTTCATAAAATATTTGCAATAGATTAAGGAAACGTACCTTTAGATCAGAATATGGCAAATCCATGTCATAATAATCATCAGTTGTATGTTCCTGAGTATTCTCTACAATTAAGGTTTTTGTAATGACGGCACTTTCTTGAAGCCCATCTCTAATAAAGAGAAATTTAAACATAGTAAAAAAAATTAAAATCTATAAAGCTTTGGAAAAGAACAAGGTTTATTAAAATATATATATTGAATTGATAAAGACTGAGTAAATTATATAAAATAATTAGTTTTGTTTAAAAGAAGATAGAAAAATATGACATTGAATAATATAGTGGATTTCTGCTTTAGAACTGGCAACACATAACTCTTAATAAAGTATTTGGTTTGATGATTGCCTCTTATGTGCTTTGTTGATTCTAGTGCAACTATGTTACTGAACTATTAAATATGATGTGGTGTCAAAAATAAATAAGAATCATTTGTATTCTTTTGAAAAATTCCAATACATTTAGTTTATAGGATATAAGTGCCTATATTTTATAGCCAATAAGTGAAGCACAAACAAGTAAGAGATGCCTTCAAATAAATCTTACTGAATTCAGTAGATCCAAGAAACTTTTTTACAATTCTGTACACTTAAACACGGCTCTAAATTAAATAAATGGTTTCTGGAAATTAATTGGATATGACAAGTCGTGTAATGTGCTCCCTACTACGTCTGTGTGGTTGAGGTGCAAATTACCCGGAAATAGGTCAGATCTCAGGTTACTAAGTACATACCCACGCAAAACTCAGATAGTGATTTGGAGTTGCCCTATAGCCATAAAAACGGCTTGTCAGTAACAGTGAGCAACCAGATCTGCAACAATACAGTCAGTGAAGGACAGTCAGTGAACCAGTCAGTCAATGACGATTTTTCTACATACAAAGCCGCAATGAAAGTAAGTCCTATATCCCCTCTCTTTGTTCACTGTGTCTTAAAATTACTACTATTTCATGCAATCAGTCAACAGTCACACACGTTTCATTAGTGTGTGCTTCACACACACATATTGGAGTACCATACCATTTGTATCAAAAACACTTTGATTTTATTTTTCCTTCTAAAATCCGGGTAGACTGACCCCATAAATTGAATGTTTTATGCTCCTATTCTATTGTTGTGTTCTAACATGAGTCCCATATGGAAAGAAGTTGCATTCAAACTTGTTTCTATTATTTCTCCTTTCACAGAGTCCATTTTCCAAACTACCAATAACTTCTGCACCTAGATTGATAAAAGCTTAATTCTTAATGCAACATATAGCAGGGTTCATCTCCATAATGACTTTGTGTCATACATTTAGTTAGCTAGTTCGTAGGATATGCTTCTATTTCACACCACTAGCTGTTAACAAAGTTGCACGTTATCAAGCTAGAATGACTGTACAAAGTTGCAAGTTATACAGTTAAAATGACTGTACATTAGTTTCCTAAATCACTAAATTTCTTAGAAAAATGTACACTTTGTTTACAGAATATCATTACAAATATAATTATGAATTTCAATAAAAAAAATTACAGGAAGTTATAATTTGTATTACATTTATTAATTCAGTTTTTGATAGAATAAAATTATTATATATGTATTATTATTATGATGCTCCCTGTTTTTATAGCCCCTAACTTTATATCTGCAATGTGTATAATAAATTGCAGCAATGAACTAATTATATATTACCTCCAGATTTGAGTTTGTGGAAGGTTGAGAGGGTGGAAATTTAGCCTTCAACTCCATCACAAAGAAAAAGAAGAAAGCAGATAAAGTGTAAACCCCAAATTTTTGTATTCCAGAAACAGTTTTCATTTTTTTTTTAGTTTAGTTATGAAGTTTTCATTTGACAGGAAATAGATTAGATACAGTGTGATAATAGATATTCGCACTTGCCTGATCCAAAGTGCCCAAAGTGTCTGGCCTGCCAAACCGGCATTTACAAGATGTCAAAGGAGCATGAATTATACTGAGCCCTTTTTATGAACATCGGTCATTTGCATATGAGGATGACCACCCACTTTAAAAAGTGGTATACAATGATGGTAAAGGGGAGAGAAAAATTGAAAGTGGAACAGACGTGAGATTTCATTATTGTAAAGACTGTGCTATTCGTTAACAAGACGACAAAAACTAAATAACAAGCTATTTCGGCAGAGATTTGATGGGACTGGAGCTGTGATTGACTGGAATGAGAAGCTGGAATTAGTGCATGACCTATCTAGGGTGAAGCAGCTTGATCAGGTCATCCTTCTTTGCCTAACTGGGAGAATGTTTCCAGTTTATCAACAACAGACCAAGGATGAGAAATCGGACATGGCCCAAATCAAGGAAGAACTAATCACCGCATTTGCTGCAAATAGATTCATGGCATACAAGAAGTTTGAGGCACATGTGTTGCATCTGGGTGAGACTGTAGATGTATATTTGGTGGATTTGTGGAAGTAGTTGGTCCTTTTTGGAGAAATTCCAGACTGTGCAATGGCATGTGTGTTTGTGCAGGGACTTCCTGGCCCTATGAAGAGGCTCCTCAGGGTGGATGATATGTCTCTTGAGGAACTGTTGGCCTGAGCTTGGGCACTCATGAAGGAGGAAGGCGAGGCTGTGTTAGCACAGGACAAGATAATAAAGAGAGCGATGTCAGCATATATTGATGATATATATATATATATATATATATATATATATATATATATAATGAGGATGTGGTGTCAGCAGAATCCATGAGGAAGCATCTTGCATTGTACGAATTGACTAGCAAGGATCCAGAGAAATTGCAGTACGGTGCCAGAGTGCTGGGACTAGAAGTCTTGGGGAGCATGGTCGACTGCGATGGCAATGAGGAAGTAGTGTGCTGAACAGTCCTATGACCATGATGTGAAAAAGCACCTTTTCCATGTGTGGCAAACTGGTGGGACATTTTCCCATGTGTGGATGGCTGCAAGTAGTGACCGGCTTCATCAAACATCGAGCCACTGCCGTCATGCAGAATTGGGACAAAAAACATCAGTGATGCTCCTTTGGGACATATGATAATGGACAGGTATAGCAACTAGATCCAGTTCAAGGAGAGTGACATGTAGACCTGAGAGTGCTGGACATATGGGTGGGCACAATTTCACTGACTGTGGGAGTGGCACTTTATGCCAATGGTGCCATCATTGAAGACATGTGTTGGTAGTGGCTGATAAAGGACACCCAACATATCAAAGTGGTGGAGCTAGATGCTATGCTAAGTGGAGTCAACCTTGTGCTCAAGTGGTGGGCTATGATGTTACACATGAAAACAGACTTCTTTTGTGTGTACCACTGGTTGGTCAATGTCCTTACAGGCAAGTCTCAGTTGAACACCAAAGATGCAAGTGAGATGCTCATAAAATGGCAACTGATCTCACTTGTGAAGGAGTACAACCTTTCAGTTAATGTGGCACTATTAGATCTGACCAGAACTAGGTGAACTTACTGACTAGAGTTCCACAGAAGTTGCTCAATGATGTACAGAAGGAGCTCAAACCTATACAGCTGGTGTGCTTTTGCTGTGAGTAATCTGAATCCTGTATATCTGAGGTGCCTGCCTCGTCTGCACCTGCCAACCTGTTGCATTGATACCAGATCTGAGTGAAAGGAATTGACATTGTGCCCTCAAGGGCTGTCAGCTTGGTATATAGAAGGAGACTCAGTCAGGGTGAAAAATCCATGGGGATAGTGCAGGTTGAAATTTAAACTAGGTTACGTTACCAGGATAACCAGTCCACAGTCAGTGGTTGGCAATGGCACGGCTTGGAACATGGGAGACGTGTTTCCATGGCTCAGTTTGGGGCTGCCACTGGACGATGGTGATGATGTACCATCAGGAAGTAATGAATGGCAAGAACCAGGCTCCAATGCAGGCAACAGAGACACCCAATCTGAGTGTGAGGGAGAGATGGGACAGATCTTTATTGAGCCCCCTCATTCCACGGATTCTGATTCAGGCCTCAGTACATCTGACGATTTGGCTGGGGAGGAAGAAATTCTTGTCACACTATGAAGGAGTGCTAGAGTGAAATGGCCCCCCACCCCAACCCTACTGTCACATGTGTGATTATATGATCAGGGGGGAGTGTGACAATAGATAGTTGCACACCTGATCCAAAGTGCCTGAGGTGTATGGCCTGCCAAACTGTCATTTACGAGATGGCAAAGAGGCATGCGTGATATTGAGCCTTTTTATGAACATTGGTAATTTGCATACGAGGACGACCACCCACTTTAAAAAGCAGTATACAATGATGGTAAAGGGGAGAGAAAAATTGGAAGTTGAAGCAAGCAGACATGAGATTTCGTTTTTGTAAACACTATGCTATTCATTAACATGACTACAGAAACTAAATAACACAGAAGATTTCTTAATGACTGTTGTTATGACTTGATATATTGTTCTTTTATTTATACCTGAATACATGCAGACACCTGAATACATGCAAATATTTGACAGAAAAATGCTTAGCTCTATTTGAATGTGCATTTCTTGAAAATTATAAAATTTTTAATAACTTAATAACTATATGCTTAAAAGCTGAAACTTTGCAGATTAATAATTTGATATGTTTTAAATGCTGTATAAAATTTAGACTTGTCTGTAAATTTTAGATAAATTTTAAGTGGAATATCATATTTTATATTTTATTTCCAATAAAAGGGTTTTTATTTTGTCTGAAACTCATTAATTAATTTCTAATAGTGTATTTGTTATAATTTGAATCTGTCTAATTTGTTAATTTTATCAAATCTTAATTTATACAGATTTAAAAAAAAAAATTTTCACAAACACTCCCAGTTTCTAAATATAACTGGTAGAATACTGATCCAAATAATTTTTATTTACAATATCCTATAGTTTCAAATACTCTATCATTGAAATTTAACCTTATTTAGGTTTAATGAACTACTGAAGTGTATAATGATAGATTAAAAATGCATTAATTTTAATGATCATACAGAACATGAAATTTATATAGTAGTAATTTGTAATGAAATAATGGATTTTTAAAAAAATTTATTAATCTAACATTTTTATCGCTTTAAATGTTATTTTTATTGGATGCCCATATTTGAATAGACGCTCCATTTATTTTAAACAGTATTTTAAACTTGTCTACAATGAGTGTTGTGATAACTGTCTTTTTTCTCATTTAGATTCCTAAAAGTTCATAACTGGTCAGTTTCATATCCAAAATATAAACAAAGCAATTTCCAATGAAATAATGGAGTTTTCTTCCTTTATTAATCCGACATATTTTTATCACTTTAAATGTTATTTTTAGTTGATTTCAAACGGTATTTTAAAATGCACTATGACAGGATTTGAACCAGCATCTCCCTTTGCGGGAGAAACCACCATTAGATTTAACTTGGTTATGAAGAGCATTGTGGTCAGCTTTCTTTCACACAGGTACAACATTTGTGAAGTTGAAAAAAAATACTTTTACCATTTATATTAAGACTTGACTTTGTTAGTTGTCAGATATGTACTATAATTAAAGTTACAAAATTTTCTGAATTGCAAATTTCCTTTTTGTTATAACTTGTATGAGAGATATATAAATTTTTATATACAAGAACAATGTTAAGAAAATTAATGACAAAGTGGAAAAAATGTTTTCTGTGACATTTGATGTTTCTGTTGATGTAACTACAAATGCACTCAAAGGGGAGGGGATGTGGACATTTTAAACTTTTAAATTTAACTTTTTTGTGTTTGGGCAGCCAATATCATTTAGTTTCTATTTGTTTTCAATCACTTCTGATTATGATAGCAGAAGATCTAAAAAAATTTAAAATAATTAAATTTAATTGTTTACAATTTCAGAACCCCCTACTCTTCTTGTGTATGTTTAGTCCAATGAAGTCCTAAAGGACAAAACACATCACACAATTTTTTCCAACTTGTTTTTAATTTTTATTATTTGCATAAACTTCTTTATTTGGTACACCACCTATTACAAATATTATGAATAAACAAAAAACATTTTTAAAAAAATCTCTCTGCTTTTACCTGAAATTGATTAACATATGTGTTTTAGGAGTGAGCTTACATTTTATTCATGTAATTAATACTTTCCATTTTTGTCGTAAATCTTCAACAGTCTGTACTTCAATTTTTATTTTGATGATAAACTTCAATAGAAACCAATTACCTGGAAACAGCAATTGCTTTGATTGTCCTTTTACCCTGTTTCAGTGTGAATGGAGCAAGATATTTGAAAGTGACTTCCTGGCCAGCCACTTTGCGCTTAAAAGGACTTGGTTTAGTGCCATCAGTAGTAAAATAGATTTTACAACCACTTGTATCTATAAAAACACAATAAAATGATTATTTTTCAATAGTAATAAGCCTTTCAGCAAAAACTATAAATTGGTTGAATTGTGATTTTAAGGCAAGAAAATGATGCTTATACAATGCAAAGTTAAAGGTGCTTGAACATTGATAACAGCAAATGAGAATATTAAAAAATATATTTAATAAATATCCCAAATGAAAATATTTTTTTAATATACCTAAAAATCTTAATACAGACAAAACATAAAACATGGAACCAAATTTATCTTGGTTGCTCAGCAACCAAATTATGACAATTCAAAGTTGGTCAGAATTTTCTGTCTCATGTGACAGAAGCCAATTTTAATAAAGTATAACTGATGATGTAGGCTTAGAAGTAAAAAAAAATCATAAATGTAATTTCATATAGGTTGTCTTGAAGTAAAAGAAACATAATAGCATCCTGAACATATAAAACATGGCCATCATTGATACATGCCTGAAACTTTGAAATTTTACTAATTTTTGGTTGAGAAATTCAACAAAACAGTTTTCTCTAATATCAAGACCTTTTGTCATAGATATATCTTATTTTGGAAAACTATGTAAAATTATGCGATTTTTGAATTGTCAAAAAAAAAACAAAAAAAAACAAAAACAGTAATAACTACAAAACTTAGATTTGTTTTATGAAAGTAATCATTTGTCAATTTTTCAAACAAATACTTATCATTAAACTTTAAACTCATTTATTTTCAAATGTAAAATACAAATATACTGAAACAAGTAAAAATATATTTATTGGAATGGATGAAGAGAACTTTCAGTTCAATTTGAATGGTCCTCCTTCCTTTCCTAATGAGGCTTATGGTCTGAATTCATTTATAAATCTCTGCTATAGCTAATATTCCTGAAACACTGCATAACCTGCTTAACATATGAAATTGTTCAGTATAGATTCCAGAGGCAAATGAATCTTTCCCCCTCTGAACAAATTATTAAAAGTTCTTATGGAAAAGAGTGGACTCATTTTTAATTAGCAGGTGGGACAGCATAATTCAAAAATATTTGTTAGCCAAGGATGAAGAGTTCAATCATTGGGAGGATTTGCATTAACAATCTCCATAATAATTATCTGAAAGGTAAAAGAGTGTAGTTAATACTACCATCACTTGAAATTGGCATTACACCAAAATCCCATCTAAAGACAAATGTTAACTCCACTTGTGTACTATCATCTGTTAAAGGTCATTGGAAATAATCATTTCTGTCTTTGGTTGGAGCTAAAAAGTTTATTAAAATACTGGATGGGCATAATATCAATTACTTAGTCAATGTAAAATTTGAAGTCACAGTATCCATTGACCTTGGTACTCAAAACTAAAAGTCATCTGAAGTGCTTCTTCATCTCAACTGTGAGAATTGTTTGAATACACAGATTCTCTATGTGCCTTTTCTTCTTTCCCTTGTTGTTTTGAGGTGAAGATGAATCAAATTAGTCTTACTTTCACCAGTGTTGATCTAAAAGAACCTTCAGATATCTCATTCAGTCTTTCATGCTACTGCTTGACATCAGTTGGTAACATTTACTAAATTTGTTTAATAAATCTTGACTGATCCATATTGGTGCCAGGAAAGAGTTTACAGAACTAAGCAAAAACCTGTAAATAAAAATGTACAATTCTTGTATCAGGAGAAAGCAACTTTGATAAAATATTTCTTAAAAGTGAGAGAGTGTGAAAATTGTTATTGTCCTCTAAAGCTTTGAGCACTCACCTATCTAAGTGTTTTCTTCATTTTCCATGGTGTTTAAAATCATGAAGGTGACAGAGATTGAACTGAAGAGAGATGAAACTTTACCAGAACTAATGTCAGAACTTCATTTGGATTACTAAGCATGTGTGTTACTTCCAAGCCAATAACCTCCTCTCTCTCATATAAATTGTAGAATCCCATTAATTCCACTATAATTCCATTCATCACAGTTTAAAATGTACAAAAAGTTTGCTGATATAGTTAAATATCAGCAAACTTTTTGTACATTTATTTAATTCTGCCTCCATTACTTGATTCATTGTTTGTTCATGTTCCTTTAATCCAAGCCCATACTTTTGTAGAGATGTAAATAAAATTTGTATTAATTTTGTCGTTTGTTGTCCTCTTGTTGACCTATCAGATTTTCACGTCTTTATTTTTAAAATGTTAGTGGGCCTCTTGTGACATCTATCCCTTATTGGGGTGCACCAAGCTATGTTATATCATGCCCCCTCCAGGAGGTCCACTACAGCCTGCTTCCTCCACAAAATAAATACCTCAGAGTCAAGTTCATCATCCACTGAACAGAAGATTAATGTCATCATTTTTCAATTAAAATGACAGATTGGTGATAAATTGATTGTGACTGTTAAAAATATCTTAAAACTTTATTAAAATGCATAGTTATTTTTCCTTTTATAGATAAAAGTTTTATCTATAAAAGGAAAAATAATTTTATGTATTTTAGCTTTAGGCTAATTTTACTAAATTTTTACTATAGGTTTTAAATGTTTTTTAGCTCAAATTTTGGCAGTATTTTAGTTTTATTGAATTATTTTGGTAAGGTTTGGGATTAATATTCAATATGTTCTCAGTTTATATTACAGTATTTTTTGGCACTACTTCAATAAATAGACTGATTCACTCAAAAAAAAAAATAGGAAAAAATCTTTTGGGAAATAATTTTTGTTGATCAGCATTCTGTAGACATTTAAGGCCATGACACCTGACAGAATAAAAATTGTTATTGATTTAGAAGTGGGGGTCCTGTTTAATATCGACACTACACTGTGACTACAGTGTCAAATAGATCCCTGACTTTTACAGCATTACTGGCCTTAGTTGTTTTGCATACGAAAACAGGCTTTTGGAGGTTGTGTGGTTGCGAAAAGATTTCTCATAAATAATTTACAGACAAATATAGTTTTTTTTTTTTAAATTAAACAAAAATTTAACATAAATCAAAAAAATATGTCCGTTTATTCTACATTTAAGTCTTAAAGGCCATAACTGAGTAAAAATCAAGGATTGATTTGTCAGTATTGAAAAATACCCTTTCAATACTGACAAGAAAAGAATGCTAAAAAAAAAATTGGGTAATTTGCAGTGTAATCCCCGCACTCATTTGTAATAAAATTTTCCAGAATAGTTACATTTAGGTGTAAATGTATATGCTTAATTAAAAAAATAAGAAATTTTGCTAAAGTAAAATCTATTGTTTTGGAGTTATCAACAATAAACTTTCGGACATTTGCATCGGGTCCACCCGCCATTAATGGCGTTGTTTACTTACATTTGTTGCGGGTTGTATGCTGAGTGAGGTGTATCAGAAGGTAAATTTTTACAAGGTGAAAGTTATGCGTGTTTGCAACAATTAGATTATACAAAGAACATAAGGACAATTGCATAGCAATGAATGACGGAACAACGTGATTAGAGATCAACAATAAAGAGATTTTATACAATGCAAACCAAAGATAAACAGAATTTTTGTTAGTTTGGTAATTGAGATAATGTTGTGAAGAATGTTCGTGCAGAATTGTGGTAAATAAATCCTGATGCTTTTGGCTTGTTATTAAAATTAAAATAATTTTTGTTTCTGGATAGTAAAATATCAAAATGTATAGTTCAACTGTTAGTGTGTGTGTGTGTTATTTATGAGTCAGAATTAAAGTTGCTAAGAGTTGTTTACCTTTAACTGATAGGCTAAATTGATGAATGTACAATTACTTTGACGAAGTGAAAATGACTCTTTAAGTCAATTGTAGGTGATGAATATCTATGCAGACAATGGTTATTTGAATGCTGTGTTGAGTTTGTTGCGAGTCAGTAAATTGAACAGCATGGAGTTTCTATGGATCTCTTGAAATTTGATGACTGACTGACTTGAATTGAGTCATGTGTTTGTTTAGAGTTGCTGAGCCACAAACGTGCCTCGAGGTTGGCTTTCCTACGCCGGGCATTGACAGGAGATTCGGTCATGGCGGGGATTGTTAGGGACGCCTTCCCTACCCTTACTATCAATCCCCCCATCTCGCGGGCCGAGCGCCATTGTAGGCCCCGGGAGGAATCGGATTTCATTCGCGAGTGTCGGTTGGCCTTGGTGGCCGTCCCTCGGTCCAGTGACCTTTCTCGGCCTAGGAAGGACTTCTATCGTTTGCTAGTGGAGGTGGTCGCGAAGGATCCCCTACGCGAGGATCTCGACATGTCGGATGATGAGTTTCGCTCTCACTGGTCTTGGGTGCCAGCGGCGGATTACCTCAGTAACCCTGAGTTTTTGCTTACCTGGTGACTGGCTCGGAATCGGCTGCCTCTCAATGACAGGGCCTTCATATGGGGCTTGGCGGATTTGCCAGACTGCGATCGGTGTGGCTTTGGTCTAGAGGAAACGGCTTCGCACGCCTTCTTCCATTGCCCCCGGGTCCGCCCCTTATGGGACCATGTCGGCGAGCTGACGGCTTGTCTCGCTCTCGAAAAGCTTGTGCCCATGGATCGCGCATACGCATGTGACAATGTGTCGCCCCCGTATTCCGGGGTGAAACGGATGGTGTTTCTCACGAATGGTGATATGGACGATGCGAGAGGAGGAAGTCTTTCTCATCAGGATCTGATCCGATTCTTTGAGCATCAGCTCAAGACGAAGATTAGAACTAATAGAAAACGCTCGCATTCGACAGTCTTCAGGTGGGTGATTGAGGCGAGCTTGGTTTGTATGAACGGGGCTAGCCTTGATTTTCTCTTTTAGATCAAGCCTACGTTACATCGGGGTGGCTTCCTGTGGTGCCCTCCCCTTGGTTAGGTTAGACAAGCTTTGGTGTACCTAGTTAATGCGAGTAAGTGTTGTTCCCGGCCTGCCCCCCGGCCACATCTTTAGTTATGATCCAGCCTGAGATTCCCAACCTCCCCAGTTTGTTTTTTGCACCCCCCCACTTTCCATCTCGACTGGGTCAGCTTTATACTTCCCCATGCCCGTATGATTTTTTATCACCTTTCCCAC